GTAGATGCACTACATCCGAAATCTGCTATGCAAACCGGAGGCGGAAGTGTTATTACAACCATCAAAAAGGAGATGATCAAAGGAGAAAGGAGATAAAACGAGGATACTACCAAAAGTGCATAAAAAGATTAGCATATTTGGTGACAAAATCTTATAAGTACTGATTTGTGACGTAGCGCAATTGCACAAGGCAGCTACTCAGATAAGGACGGCTGTACTTTTTTCGCTTGACTTGTATAGGCAGAATGACGCAGTTCCTTGGAAGGAGTGCAAAGGCAAAATATATACTACAGGGTGTCCCAAAAAAATGTTAACACTGTTTGATCGTTAATAACTCCCTTGCTTTCAAGTCTTTCGCCGAGCTTTAGGTACCATTTGGTAGAGCAGGATAAACTTAGATTTCCAGTATCAAGCGAATCATCTAACTCTCCTCCTTACTGTAGAATTACGGTAGGAAATTTGACAAGATTTTAAGCCATTAAAGCCCATTTTCTGCTTCGAAACAGAGCCAAACAAGCTAAAATCTCTTTATGGCAATGAAAGCTGCTGATTTCGGATATGAAATTTTCACTTCATTACGATACTTCTTTTCAAAGTTATCCTAGGTAAAGTTTAATAACTGACTTCCCAGCATGTGTCAAAAACGTGATTACACCGTCAAAAAAGCTGAAAACACTCCGAAAAAGTTGTGTAGTAAAATCAGCGTGCGCGAAAACCCTAGTACACGATTTTTCAGATTTTTTGAATAAAATTTTGTCAGAGTGCTTAATTCACGACGGTTCCACATGCTGGAATTTCCTACCGTAATTCTACAGTAACGAGGAACGTTGGATGATTCACTCGATACTGTAAATCTAAGCTTATCCTCGCTCTACAAAATGGTACCTAATGCTCGGCGAAAGACTTGAAAGCAAGGGGGTTATTAACGATCAAACAGTGTTAACATTTTTTTGGGACACCCTGTATGTTATTATTAGTGGTCAGATATGCAAAACTAATGTGAGTTCATAAAGCTGACGGTTATTACGTATTAGAATTGAATTCGATGCAAAGTTGCGGAAACGTCGTCCATGCCAAGCAATCGTTTTCGACTGTTTTCATGCGTAGTCAGTATTTTACAAAATAGAAAACCGCATAAAAAGGCCCGAAACAGAAGGTTGCGGTTGCTTATGATGGGACTATTTCTTGATGGGCACTGCCAATAGTCGAATAGTCAGCAGTCACAGCGCACATTTGACTGTCTGGATAGAAATTCGATTGCGAATTTTTTATTATTCTCGATTTTTCTGAATAGTTATCGAACTTGAAAGTAGTGAGACTGCCAAAATTAGGGCTTCTCTTTTCCTCCAACTATGTCTCTAAACGAATATAGCATGCAGCCTTGATGCTTAGCGCTGCGCACACGCCTCTCATTCTAAAGCGAATCTTCTTAATTTTAGTATACTTTCAGCTGGGAGGGTCTTCCACAACAGACAGAACTCTCCTGACATATATCGATTTTTCCCTTTGCAGAAGTAATCACCTGTTCAGGAAATCTACTGCTATGCAGTTTAGAGGCCTTATTCTTAGATCCCTCAGTTTCAAAGCTTTTAGAGCTTAGTGTAAGAGAGCAATCACAACGTCATTCACTCATTCTCTGTGGAAGTTTCCAATTCGACTTCTTCGAGTAAAACTACTTTTTATAGGTCATCAACTTACTGGTAGGGATCAGCCAGTTCTTCACAATAACTTTTCTCTTCGTGGGATGGTTCTGGAGCATTGCATGGGGTGGACTACTCATAATTCATTCCGGTACGTTTCCACACTTGTGCTCATTCATCTCTAAAAATACAGTTCCATCTTTCACTTTGTTCGCGATTTATGCTTTCCCTTCATATATAACCATGTTTAAAATTCGTAAAAAAAAATCAAATTTCAAATCTGTATCGAGATGCATGAAAAGGAAAGCGCAGTTTCTTATGAGGTAACGGCTTCTAACAATCTAGCTTCAAATGAGGACTAAGAAAAGTTTATCGTAACGGCATAGAGTGTATGGTTTTCGAATAATATCATAGTTTCTGGCATAACGATAATCCTCCCAATGTGAAGAGAGTTTCCGAACATTTTTGGAAATCTCACTTTTTTAACGCAGTTTTTGGACCTCGATTAAAGTTCAAACAGATTTTTTCTTTGTAGAAATTCATAGAAAAGAACCCAAACATCTCAAATCACTTTTCATCTCAATGGATTCGAAGCCTGTTCAATTTACATATATCACATACAAAGAAACTTTTTCAACGATAGAATTTTTAGCCTGTTTACCGTATACTCAAGAGAGAAATTGTCTAAATTCCAAACCTAATGAAGAGTTCGCCGTCTATAGCTGCAACTGCACTCATAATAGAAATTACCTACTGTCAAACTTGTTCTGATCGTAGTTTTCGCAGGAGACGCCGGGAATTAACACGCCTGGGTAAAGCGCTAAAAGTTTTGTAAGCCATTACCAACAGAATTTGCTGTAATCAAAATACTGACTTACTCCATGCAGAAAGGATTGGTTGAATCACTCAGTCAGAAACTAGGGCTTTTCGGAGGTGCAAGAATGGCCAAACTTCCAAACTTTTGGGAGAAATTTATTGAAGGTAGTGTTTTGGAATCGTCATTTGCCCTCAAACCCACTTCATCTCTACAGAGCTGCTGCATACGAGCGATACCGGTGCGCGAAATGAAGTCCTTGAACAATCAAGAAGCATATCTTGAGACGATGTTGTTTTGGCAGCGAAAGTCATATCTTTTGAAAAAACTTTTCATGTTTTCTTCTAGAAAAAAACCATAGTATTAGGTTGTTACATAAGTCTTGTTACACTTAACTTCTAACGGTGATAAATCATGCTCCTCATATTATTTACAGGACTTCAGGATACCATTCGATAGAGCCAAGCGAGCTCTACAAAACAGTGTGCAAAACTTCACACCAACCTCAACCCACTTTGAGCTTGCATCCAAAATCTGAGTCGTACTAAACGCTTAAGAATCGCGAAAAATTCATATCTCTGTTCATAAAAATCCTACAAACCTCCAACTTGCTCATAAAAATTGCACACTATATCAGACATCTTGTGTACCGTTGCTGTATTTTTTCCTCATCTAGAAATTGAGAAAACGATAATTTCCTTGTTTTTACAAAAACGAAGCTATGTTGTTTCTATTTATGTAGCTGTTTACTACAAGCCCTTAGAAGTATAATCTTAAATTTTCTGCTTTCCAAAGGCTCTAGTTTTTCGAAAAATACCGAATTTAGCTTTTTTCACTCGGAGTTCATTGCTAAATTGGGTAAATTTCGAAAACTAGGGCTTCTGGAAAGCTGAAAATTTACGGTTATACTTCTAAGGACTTGTAGTATACAGCTACATAAACAGAAACAACATAACTTCGTTTTTGTAAAAACAAGAAAATTATCGTTTTCTCGATTTCTAGATGAGGAAAAAATACAGCAATGGTACATATGAGTGTCTGATATAGTGTGCAATTTTTGTGAGCAAGTTGGAGGTTCGTAGGATTTTTCTGAACAAAGATATGAATTTTTCTCAATTTTTGAGCGTTTCGTACCACTCAGATTTTGGATGCAAGCTTATAGTGGGTCGAGGTTGGTGTAAACTTTCGCACACTATTTTGTAGGGCTTGCTTTGCTCTATCGAATGGTATCCTGAAGTCCTGTAAAGAGTATGAGGTGCATGAGTTATCGCCGTTAGAAGTTAAGTGTAACAAGACTTATGTAACAACCTAATACTTTGCTTAAATCGAAATATGAAATGTTTCTTTTTGAGTTTTTTAAAGTTTTTTCTTTTTAACTTTTTTTACACCCTTACCTTACAATAAATACTCTGACAAGCTTCCTGCATAAAAGTGAAATCGTGAGAGCTAATATGAAGTGCGCGATCATATATGTGGGTATTTTTCCGTCAACAAACTAATTTTGAAGTTTTTAGTTCAATACCGCGAAGCTCTCATGCAGCGTCGACAGGAAGCAGTGGCGACTGCTGCTATCGAAGCACTTACCAAAGATTCCATTCTTCATCGAAGAGATGTTAAAAGCCTTGTGAAAATTCACAATCAACAAATTTTAGACAAGAAAGCACTAGATGCATGAAAATCGAATAACTTTATTGTATATGTATATATTGCAAAGAATAAAACACTTTAACTACTGTCATTATTTGCTAAGTTTATATGTCAAGGATTTTCGTTTTCGAATAAGTTTAGCAGTAACCCATGTCCTTACAAAAATCGTCTGCGCTTGTGCCTGGCTGTTGCAAGAAATTCTGAAATAGTACAACGATAATGATGATAGTAACGTGCATACTGTTATGATTATTTCTAAAGGCTCCGCTTTGTTTTTATTTCCTATTTTTCCTTTTTATTCCTCCTCAGGCGAGTATTGCGTTGTTTCTATGCTATCCCAGAACTCCTTAGCAAGGAGGTATGACAGTAGATACAAATAACTCTTTTTGTGGCTATGAGTTTCATTATCTTCATACTTTGATGTTTCACGAAACAATTTTTATTCACATTTAAATTTGACATTGCTATGAAAGCATTGTTCGAGTACACTTGAGGGTAGTGTAATTGCAAAGCGGCACAATAGCGGGTCTCCCAACTAACAAAGGAGGTCCGTTTAGTCGAAGTAGCCTTTTTGAATGAAATTGACACGACTATAAAGAGCATTAAACGCTGATTCCAAATCTGTCTTCACTATCTGCCGAGCGCCTCTGGACGTCGAGTTATGAGCGTTTTTTGGGTTGAAGAATTAAACGCATAACTAGCACAAAATTTGACAATTGCTCAAATGGCTGTGCGAGAGAGAGTACACTTGAGATGTTGATTATCAGAACACTCCATTTGAACAATACCTTCTGTCCAAAACACTCATACTAAACGCTGCTCTATTTGAGCGCTGAAAAGACCGTAAAATTTGATTTTACCAAGATTATGCGATTATTTTTCGAACCAAGAAAATATACATAACTCGGCATGCAGAGGCACTCGGCATATAATGAAAGCAGATTTGGAATCGCCGCTCAATGCTCTTCAAAGTGACATAAGGTTCATTTGGAAAAGCCACTTCGACTAATCGTACCTCCCTTGTAAGGCAATTGTCCAAGTTCGACTGAGAGATGAACTCAAGAAATGCTTATAAGAAAAGTGGTGCTAGCGACCACGCTCCCATCGATGAAAATCAAAGATATAAGAAATTTTTGTTGTTCCATAAAACCAGCAGGCAGGATAAACCTGTGTTAATATCTAATCTTCAGTTATATTTGACCCAGGTACTCTACACGATGAGCACGCCATTGTCGATTTTCAAAAACAAAATCAAAAGAAGTTACCAGAAGTCACAGTCAAAAATAAGCCCTCTGTTTTAGAATTTTCCAAAATCGACTTTGCCTCGCCGGTTCGTAAAAAAACTCAAGGTGCTTCGTGCAAAGAAGAGAAACTGCTTGTTCCCAGCACATAAGCGGATTCAACAAATTTGTTGTTTATTTGCCACAAGAAAGAAAAATGGTACCAATGGTAAAAAAATTGTTTGAATGGTTTTCCGATTTGTTCAATTCCATCTCTTTCTTGAAACAAGCTGAAGTTCCTTTGACAAAGAAATTGGTTTTCTTTTTCCCTCATAATTTTCCCAACTGTATCATAAGTAACATACATCTACATTTACCACCAGACAAACCGCAGATAAAACTTTCTTGCTCCTTTTGCTAGGGTAGAAAACCCTTGGCACTACTGCAAATGCAGGTGTATTGAATTTTCAACACTTCTTCGCTTCTGTTTAAGTTTGCCGTTTTTAGAGATTAATAGATTAATTGTGGATGACCTTTCTTGCATTCTAAACACGCCAAACTATGTAAGACAAGGTAAGTTAACCCAAGCAGGATAAAACTCCTTGCGCTTTGTTATTGCTGATAAAGAAAGACAAGGTCAATATCGCAAATCAAAAACAAACTAAGAAAACACCTGAAGGAAGAGAGGGAAGTTGTCATCAAGCGTCAATCTGCAGGCTCGTCTTTGCAACTCATTTGGAACCTGATCACATCCTTGTGAAATAGATTCTCCCATTTGAGCCTTAAATAAAAGAGGAATTTATCACAGTTGTGCTCAAAATTTGGATAAACGATTGCATACCATAACGTCGTTATTAGACTGGATCTGCTGTGTCATAGAGGCTAGTCCGGCTTTACAGAATGCGCATGTGATTCCGTCATTGCCAGCATTGTCAGCGTGAACGTACAAAATTGCTATAACAAGCAGGAAGGCGCGAATGAACATGCTCTAAATGTAATTCACAAATTTTCTCCAAAGTAAAGGAGACAGTGAATAAAAATGCAATATGAGTGCGCTGAAGACGATTTTGAGAAAATTATCACTCAAATTATTGAGTGGAGGAACTGATTAGTAAATTTCTAGATTGACAATTCTCAAAAATGTCCTTCGGGTACGCAATATTATTCACACCTTCATTGTATGTCTAGTAATTGAATAATAGCATAAGCATGAAAAACATCGAAAGTATAGCAAGATAAAAGAGAGACTTCATCAAAAACGGTGACTCACAAAAAAGCCTCTAAAAATCCATCTTACAGCGAAAGAGTTTATGTGAAAACTTCTGAAAAAAAATACCATGCAGTCATGCAGTCATTGATTTTTAGTTAATATATAGTTAACGACAGTGGCGTGATAAGGGCGGATTGGTATTTCCGATAAGAGAATACCTGGCAGTAGAGAAGCGTGGTCCTTATCGCTAGCAGAATATACACATGCAAAAATCAGTTCTCAGCAAAAAAAGTTAATCAAATTAGCCGATAGCGGCTCTGTAATTATGTATCTATGGATCAAATGAATTTCAAATGGTATGAGGCGTATGCATGTTGGCTTGGCTTCTCGCAAATGGCAATCCTGAACTGTACTGCGAAAGAATCTTTTTATTTTGACAATTGATTCTATGCAGTCGTCGAGCAAATGCCGAATCCTCGAATGAGTGAAAATTACCAGTATGCACCTTCCTCAAAATAGTTCGAATATTCTCTACGCAATTATTATGAGCTTCGCAAGAGACTCGTTGGTTCATTGGACACGAACGTTACATTAGTGTGCCCCCCCCCCTCCCAAATTTCCCCTTACTGCAACAAGAAAGATTTTTCAGCAAATCGCAGGACATCTTCTGAATTTCTACTTTGGGAACAACGTGATCTGATGTAGTGGAAATGTCCAAGCATTGCTCGTTGTGTAGTCATTAGTCAGCTGAACAGTACTGCTAACCTTCTATTTGCCCGAATTTTTCTATAAAAATTTAAAAAAAAACGAAAATCCACTCAAATTCCACTCATTTTGTTCTCTCTGAGGTGACAAAAAGCATTTTATCGGTATTCATGATTTTATTTGCGGCCGAATTCCATAAATTTTTTTGTTTTTCTATTGTGGAAGGTTCTAGGGCTAACCTCACTGTATACGAGAGCTCCATGATTGCATTGCGGTTTCACTTTTATGCGACATATTAGGGCCACAACGATGGATTATGTTTTTGCTAAAATTTATGAATTCCGAATTTTTCTAATGATATACCCAATCAACAATTTGTAGCACAATTCTAAAACAAACCTTGAATATTTTGGAAAGAAATTTCTTTTTCTTCTGCCAGTTGATCTCACGGTAAAAATGCAAAAACGAAATTTTTTACATTTTTACATTTTATACGCTGTCATCTGAGGGTACGTAACCACGAAAAGGACAGAGCTCTGTGAAAACCAAAGTGATCGTAAAAAAACCAGAAGAAAAGAGCTTCTGATTGATTTAAGCTGTCTTTATGAAAAATCGTGTTTCTCTTCAAAATCAACGCTTCAAAAACTGGCATAAAAGACGGTAAAACTATAGAAACAGCTCAACACATGAGTCTTAACACAAAATCCTAGCCTTTCTATAAATGATCGTACAGCTCCTGGAGCGTTTGGAGATAGCTCTTTATTCAGGGGTCGGCACAGATGGCTCATAAGCAAGCTGGATGTATTATAGTTTCCGGGACAAAAAGCAGAGGGGGTATCGGTCTTGTGGCGAAAAATACGTTTTTTTGTCGACGTTTCGTTTTTTTAGAATTTTTACGTTCATGGTTGAGGGGTCAAAAGGGACTTCGTTTCGATAAAGTCAAGGGGACTTCGTTTTTTGCTTTTTTTTTTTGAACCACTTCGGGCCAAGCCCTGTCTTTATCAACTAAAACAGCCTGATTAACTTTTTCTTCCGAAATATTCGGTACATATTTTCTTGATTGAAGGATGTTGGTAGTTTGCGCGTGGTGTCGATCGGTGGAGCAATTTCGCTGTCACAATTAATTCTTATGCTGTTCAGTTTTATATTTATTGCTTATGTTTTTGTGCCCTTCGGAGGACTTGGAGACCAAATACCCTGGAAAAAAGCCATTTTGATCAAAATCCCATAGCTCTGGATTGTTCTAGCACCGTCTCGGGTTTCTTTGAAAACAAAAACATTATCAGATCAGTAGGTATAAAGATCCATTACATGGGTTCCAAACATCGATGGAAATTTCATTTTCATGTCCAAAAAATCAGAGCACACCTTATGCCATTACAGGCACTCAACTTTCACGTCTTTAGTTTGCAATTTTCTTAGGACTTTCAGTATCTAATTCATAACGTTGGCTCTTCTTGGCATTTCCACTTCACCTTTTGGTCAAACTCGTTCTTTTAGCCAATTTCCAACACTTTTTCTAGTCCAAGTCGAAAATTGCTTAAAGCAAAAAGCCTTTGACAAAGTAAGTGAATTTTGCCGTCTGCAAATGTCTTTTATGTTATGTCTTCAACTGCGTATGTATTGGACTTTCCCTTTGACAAAAGATCGAAATGGCCTCCCGTATTTGCTTTCTAATTTTAAACAGGCATAATTATCGTAAAGCATACTTCCTTCGTACATCCTTACTTACATATTTTCGTAGCTATGAACAAGTTTGGTGTGATATATGAACGATTTTGTGTTATAGATAAATGATCTTCACCGTTAACATATCGTCTAAAAAATCTTTGCTATGTTGTAAAGTTGTGTTATATAGCCCCTTGTTCATCCGCATGATATTTTATTTTGTAGTGAAATCAAAGCGCAATTTTCTGGAGTCGCCTCTCATTTGGAAGTCCTAGTTCCGTGAATTTCGAGCAATTATTTTTTTGAACTTGATTAGGAAGTACAATTCATCAGACAATGGAAAATTTTTTGTTTATTACATTATCTGTTGGAATATCTGTTGATTAGGACATTACTCGCTGAAATTGTGTTTGTTTGATTTTTCAGGTTTTTCTGTGAAGATAGCAATTTTCTTTGCATCGGACCTTAATGCTAAAGTTGGTTTTTTTCTTTGTTAATCTATGAATGGAGAGTCGCTGGAAACCGTAGCTGTCAAAATGGCTGAAATTTCGAAAACAACAGTCAAATTAAGCTTTTAAAAAGTTTGGAAGGGTTACTTGTATTTTTTAATTTTATCTGGCGTACAATTAGTCCTAGAATGTGTCTGGAGTCTGATCGTAAACCATCACATCTCTGCATTACATTCATTTCAACGTTGAGAAAAATATGGATACAGAAAATGTAAGGAGCTACTACCACTTGTGCTCTGAGATTGACATCATGCTGATAACGCATCATGTTGTTGTTCAAATACATTTACAATTAACAATTTTGGGCACTTCCTGTCTGGCTGATTGTACTGTCTTCTATCACGAAGCAGGGGATCAATGGAATCTCTTACTCAAAAGCACCCAGCAAAATCTCGATCTCTGCTTTTTCACCTTTTCGAAAACTTCTCTTCATGGCCTTATCTAACAAGCTTGTAAGCTTTTCAGCGCTTGAAAATAGCAAAAATAAGCTTCCGAAGCATTCCTCCGCGTTCGCTCAAAATCACGTCTACAGTCTGCCCCAATCCTAACCGGGCCAAAATTGGCTTGGCGGGAGTGCGCGTCGCGAGGGTTTCGCGCCACTTCTGCGTCTAGCTAGTCTGCTCTCTCCTCAATCTCTTCGCTCTCTGCGACAGCGCGCGTGTGCAGCGCAAACCACTGGCGCTGCGAGCGCGCAAATTCAGCCGACGGTTCGGCCTGATCCCGATTGGGGCAGACTGTAAGTTGCGGGCGGGGCCCGAAAGTGGGCGGGGTGCGGAAAACTTCCAAAGCGAATTTTGGAGTTCCTAGAAGCCCTCTTCGCTCCAGACTTTATTGATAGATTGGTTGAAGGGACCATTGCAACACGGATTCCGGTACGCATCATTTTGCCGGGTAGCTGTCATTGAGTGACTCCCTAAGAGCTTTCTGATGACTGAGACCACCGTAAAAATTTGACCAATCATTCGTTATGCACAAGTACATGCTTGGAAAATATTATTCAGGACCGCTCAATTCGCTTACGTGTCGACACTCAGAATACTCCTGTGAGGTGTGCAACTATGACGGAACGTGAGACTCTTAGACTTAACTCCTGTCCTTTATTCAAAACGCTGAGAACATGGTTTGCAATAAAATCATATATTCCAGAAAACAATTATTCTACTCGACATTGAAGAGTTCGCTTGTTGAAACCTCAACAATATTTCCGCAAAGGATAAATGCCATGTTTGTGACCGTCGACTTAACTTCGATCGCTCGAAAAATTGACTATAATGTGGACCCCGACTAGGTTCCCATAGGTACTTCCGCAGCGGGCACGCAGCGCGCGCCCTTCTCAATGCCTCTTGCCTCACTCATGAGCAGTAGAGCATATTTATGCTCACAAAGGAGAAAAATGTAAGGTGGAAACCTCTAGGTTCCCTTCGAGAGAGACGTATGCAAGAATGAAACGCAGGCAGCTTCCATGAATACCTCAAATCCAATCAATGGATGCATATTCCGAACTTGCACTGATGGATAGGTTGTAATAACTATACGTAGAAAAATTAAAGAACAACAGCATCCTTAAAACGTTTCTCTTCGTAAACGTAGAAACTAGAGTGGTCAAAGATTTCAAAAAAGTGGATATTTCAGTAAACAAATGCCTGTTGGCTTCTCGGAAGGCTCAATTTAGACTTGAGACACTGTCTACACCTTAGACATCAAACCGAAAGGGACTCTTATTTTATAAAAGAAGCTTTTGAAAAAAATATTATCTTAATATCCAATCAAATCTCAATCTTTCAGAGAAAAAAGGGAAAACACAAGACTACTACACAAGACTGAAGCTCTTAGAACTATTAGAGCACGTGAAATCTCGTCACCTGTCATCTCGAGTTGTTTATACCTGAAATAGAGAGAATATAGTACACCAAAAACAAAAAAAAAGAGGGAGAAAGGAGGATTTCCATCTGAAGCTAGGACAGGATACGCACTGAAGGCGTGCTTGCGGGTGCGTCGCGCAGGTACCTATGGGAAGCTGGCCGGGATCCACACTATACTAATTGTAAACAATTTCCTTCCGCGCAAACAAATCTGCGCATACGAACTCAGTACATTTCTAATACAAAAAGTTTTGGAAAACCAATCTGAAAATGATAAACTTTAACATAAAGTGTTGCTTCTGGAAAGAAATTATCTTTCAGATGAGGACATTCGGGGATGGAAGGTAGTTCAGAAGAACTTGACGCGAATCGTCGAATATGGACGAATTTCTGGAATACTACCTCCACTTTCTAAGGTAGGCTAAATGGTTGATTTTTCCATTACGAATCCGTGATTTCGTCTGTTTTACTACAAAATTGCAAGAGGCAACCATCAATGTTTAGGACTGATTGGATTATGAAAGGAAATAAGATGGCACGTTGAAAAAAGTATAGGACGTTTTGAGCATTGTCTAAATGGTCCCAGTAATTAGAGCGGTGTATTAATAAAGATAAACGATTTTTGATATCTGGAGTGTTTACCGTGTGTTGTCTTCAGCAAAGGTAGAGCAGATTCAACTCTTTCTAGCAAAGCAATAGGTCAAGATGAGCAGTTATTCGCATGCAGATTTCCTTCAAAAAATGCATTTAGCCAGGCGAGGAGGATGATCAAGCCAAAGGTGCAGAAGACGAAACAGCAGAAAATCAGACGCAAAAAGAAGGGAAAGTAGTTGATAAGGTTAGCACATGCACACATGCTACCGAATGTGCACAATCAAAATCTGACCATGCATACTCAGATAATCATCCCACCACAAGATATCACAATTATGCATCAAGCAATTCCATTTCTGCCACTGCCTGTTGCTCTATTCTGCTCCTTTCTGAATTTAATCATTCCGGGAGCAGGTGAGAAGATCTTATTCATTGTAGTACGAAGGGATATGTGTAACTATCGGGTAAAATTAGGTACCATCCTCTCCGGCATAACTGCTCTCTGCCTCGGCCAACCAAGGTTGAATATGGAGGAAGGCGAACGACTTTACACAATGGTAATTATTCATTGTATCACATTTTTCCGTAAATGTTTTATTATGTCAGTGAGGTTATGCATATCAATGTTTCCTGGCATACTTATGAATTCTTAAGAGATAAAGTATTGAAAATATTTAGCCACTCGCAAGTAGTTCGATGATCAGCAAAATCCTGCTTTTTTGGATGTGCATGTGACCTACGATCGCACATACTAGTTGTTGAGGCGAATATCTAAAAATTTCTAAGACACTTCCACAAAAGAGGCAAGCTTTGTGGCTTGAATTCAGAACCTAGTTCCCATAGAAATTGCGGTACATTCAAGACATGCGGAAAATTTCCACTTCGTTGTCATTTGCTCAATTCTGGGTATTTTGTAAAATCCAAGCACTTGAATAGGCATAATCTGAGGAAAGTAAGAAAGTTATAATCGGAAGGAAGTTGCAACACTTATTAATCTTTTTGAAAGCGCCATTTGGACCCCTTGAATGTGACTGCAAGCCTAAATTTTCGACAAAAGGCCAAGCTTGATCTTCTACAAGCTCCAACTTTTGTTCATGTGCCATAATAACTTCGAGTGCGCTTCAGTCAGTTTTGCTAATAAATTGTCATACAGGTTCTCAATCTTCTGGTCGGAGTCAGCCAATTTTTCACGATAACATTCTTTTTTGTTGGATGGTTCTGGAGCATTGCTTGGGGATTCCAACTCATCATTCATGCGAGTGAGTATTTTAAGATTTTATTTAGGCTGAGATAAACGAAGATTCTGGAATGCTCTTACAGGGCACGGCACAGGTGGCTTGGCAAGCAAGCTGGATATCGTTTTTGGGGAAAAAGCAAAGGGGATATCGTTTTTGCGGTAGAGCATAACGTTGTCTTTCGGTCTGCGGCCGGCACGCTACCGGCATGCCGCTAGCAAATAAACAAAAGGTTTGTTTACAGCGAAGTGAAGATGAAATGACACCAAAATAGGTGTGTAGATGGGCAATGGGGAGTTAGAACTAAGTATGAAAAATTATGAAAAAATTATGTGAACTAAAGGCGTGCTCAACTTTTTTCGGAGTTAGGTGGCTTTTAAGCCACCTGGATAGCCAGCCACCTGAGGTGGCTTAGGAAAGAAAAAGTCATAAATTTTTCCTCCCTCACATAATTTTTCTACTTTCCTTACATACTTTTCATCTACATCCCAAACCCTACAAACTCCCGCTTAGTTATAGTTCGTTGAAAATTTTAAATGGCCGCGGAAAGGCTGCTCTAGGCGCGTATTGCTGCACGATGGATACATCATGCCGCCATTCCGGAGAATATGAATATCATCGCGTGTGTTCGATGATTCTTTTTCGTTTTTTTTTCTGCTGTTGCTTTGTTCCGTTCCTTTTCATGTATTTTCTCTTCGAATATCTCGTGGCGGATGTCGTAATTTTATTGAAGTCAAAGGGGACTTCATTTTTTGCGATTTCGGGACGCCACCCCGTGCCGAGCCCTGGTCTAGGGTCAAAGGGGACTTCGTAGAGATTTGCAAAAGTCAAGGGGGACTTCGTTTTTTGCATTTTCAACCAGCCACCTCGTGCCGAGCCCTGTGCTCTTATTGTTGTCCATGCCACCTTCTGCACGAGTGATGCTTTTGCATGTAAGTATTTATAGCCTAAAAAGAGTCTAAATACCGTCATTTGCGTTGTACGATGGCATCTATTAAATTACACAGAGCGCAGTAACTACTTTCGTCTTTCCTTACTTCTCTTGGACTTTTGAGCATCAGTCATTCCTTTCTCGATTGCGAAAAATGCTATCATTGGCGACTTCATAGACGTTACTAACTACCAACTAGACAATTACTTACGCACAGATCTTGAATGCAGTCTCCGTGAACTGTCTGAACAATATTTACAAGCTCATGCAAGCACGTGAGATTTGCCTAAGAGAGAGCGCTCACACAGAATTATGTACCGTCTTAGGCCTAAGGCATACCTCGCGCGATTTCGTCAAATCGCTACACCCATGCGACTTGGCTGTTTGCCAGATGTTTACAAATTAACCGTGCGTGGGTCTAAAATGCATAGTCGCGTAGCTTCCATAAGCTATAGCAAGAGCTTCAAGTCTGGATGCAAAGCGTGCTTACGACCAGCTATGAAGAGTTTCTGCAATGCCAAATCGCGCAGTGACTGGAATCGCGTGAGGTATGCCTTAGGCCTTAGCAATGCCGAATTGCGCGACAACCGAAAACGCTATGACCGGTGCTGTAGAGTTTCAAGAGAAATTGCATATGTATATAGCTTCGTTTGGCAAGTACCATAACCCAAAGTTACGCTGCATATAAGGAGATTAACCAATACGGTCAATGTTTCCACCTTTCAATTCCTCTAGGGTCGGAAGACTTCACTTCGAAATGAAGAGATGGACCGAAAATGGAGTCTTGTTGCAATTTTCGCGTTTCCTCTTTCATTTTCTCCACTAATGATTTCCACAAAGCACTCTGAAGCCTAGCGAAGCTTTATCCAAGTCCAGCAACAAGATTTGCTTATGATACTTCCAATCAGTATCTCGCCAACTACAACCTGTACATCAAACCAAAATTAAGATCGAGATCAGACATACGTTTTGAGAAAACCTCTACCCTCTTGCAGACCTGTCTTAATGTCCCCTTCTTCTCCTTCTTCACCTCGAGGACGCTAAGTCGTGACAGACAAGTTGTGAAGAAGTTAGCGTGGTTTAAGAAATTTTTTGACTTTTGAAGCATTGAAGGCCAAAGAATTTCACAAGTAGACGCAGGACCAATTTCCTATTAGGCAGACAACGTTTTTAGAACAAGGCTTACGAGTCTTATCAAAAATGGAGCTTTGTGGACTTGCCAAGCGAGTCAGATATAAGGCTGAAAAAGCGTAGGCAGCCTTTACCTTTTTGTAGATTTTCGCCTGACCCCCTTAACTTTACCTCCGACGAAGCACTTCTAAGTATCTTTGTGTGGACTAGTAAGTGCTAGCTTTTTTATGTTTAGCTTGTGGTGGTTTATGGACTGAAAACAAACAGGTGACGCGATGATCAAAGTCCTGGCAGCATGCATGAATTATTTATCTGATAACGATACGGGGCTAAACGTATCAGCATAGAACAATATAGATATCAATCTGCATCAATAAAAAGATTCATGTTTGAAAATGACTTGCTAGATGATGAAAATACTAAATTGTGGCAGTTAATTTTTTATAGAGTCCACGGAGGTAATTTGACTCGCTAATTATTGAACTCAACCGTCTTTGCTTAGCTTACGATTTGGCGTAGATCGGAGGGGTTTTGGAATCTGTTGAGGCAAAGCTCTCTATGTAGATTATAGTACCGTAATCACTCTTTACAATAAACATTATGGAGTTACGGTTCGTTATGATAGTTATTTACGTGTAGCGCTTTTGCTACACCTTACTCGAGTGTAGCGAATACTTTATAAACAACTAGCTGGCAAACCCGGCTCCGCCCGGCCCTGTCAATAACATATTTGTAATCAGCATGCTCACTTACCCCCTGTGCCAACTCCCAGCCCCGTAGCTCGAACTTTTTGAAAAATCAATAAAATCGACATCGATCGATGACGGAAAGTAGCCTGTGACACCCGCCCGTCCCCGAAGTGTATGTGTGCCAAGTTTGGTCCGGATCGGTTCAGAAATAAAAATTTCTAGGAAAATTTGTTCATACATACATACAGACAGGCATACATACAGACATACAAACAGACATTCAGCTTTTTATAAAAATTACGTTCTCAATAATACTCCGCTCCACAGTTCCTTTCAATCGAAAAATTATGCTACTTTTCAGTGCACTACCGCGATGCCATTCAACAACGCCGACAGGAAGCTGTAGCAACTGCTGCAATTGAAGCTTTAGCAAAGGACTCAATATTTCATCGAAAAGACGTACAAAATCTTATGAACACTCACAAGCAAAATTCTAGTGATAAAAAAGTCGAAAATAAAGCATGACATTAGCACATTCGCCATCTATTCACATCTAGAACAGAAAATCCTTCCAATGATCTGGATAAAATAGACCCCAAAACTTTTTTGTAAATTCCGATTGTTCTGAGGGTAATACAAACATTGCTCGCAAGTTTCAAAATTGCACATTGAAAGTTTACAAGTTCAAAAGGACAGAAAATACTTTGATCTACAACAAAGATGCACAAAGAATTTTCGAAAGTTACTTAAACGAGTTGTAATATGTCCAACGACAGGTTTACACTTGTAACTGATTTTAGTTTGAAGTTTTAAAAAAATTCAATGTGCAATTTTGAGTTGTGAATCCGCAAAAATCTTGAGAAGCATCCTAAAGAGGTTTTCAGAATGCGTGTCTAACTCTACGCATCTTTAATCCTGCTATCAACATCCAGCGCGATACTTTTTTCTCCTACATCTTCCCATAGTCGAAATTTCTGAAGAAATTTGAAGAGAGAGAGGGCTGCCTAGACAGACATGTGGTTATCTTTGGCCCAAACGTTGGCTCGAATGTTCCAGGATAAGCTGAAATTCATAATTGCGCTGCAAACGCTCCTACTTGTACAAGATTGCTCAATAACCTCTTGGCTTTCGTTAGAAGGCATTTACCTGGCAGGTGCTGGCTGATTTGAATGAAAAGTTTGCTTTAGGTTAATCACATCAGTTTATAAATTTTTCAAATACTGTTCGTCCCTCATGCTTATATCCAAGCCAAATTTATCCATATCATTGATTACTTGTCGTAACAAGGTATAGACCATTTACATAATAGTGACGACGGATTTGACTGCGGACTTTGCGTCCACAGGACCAAAAACGCCCATACAAGAAGACATCACTTCAACCCTCAGCTCAGTCACTTCTAGTGTCTAAATACTACCATACGTAAGCGAAAAAACCATTCGACTATGAATGAAAACCAAGAAAATTCAGTCTTCAGAAAATTCAGTCCGAAAGTGACGCGCTTGCAGCGCGCAGTCGCGCCATTGTCACGATTTTTCGAATGCCCTATATCTATTCATATGAAGCATGATTTTACCGCCTTTGCGACATTTTAGTTGAGATTGTCAATGAGAGGCAGATTCTCATTTGGCAGGCTGGTGAGAGGCCTGGAAGGGCTATTTTCAACAAGATTCTGATGCGAATGCATATCCCTCAAATTTTTAGGACTTACACGCAAAAATATTGCTCCTCTGTTATCCATCTCTGTGCACCCATGCAGAGCTCTGGTTTAGTATAATGATTTTGGTCTGCGATAGTGCTCTGACCGCCTAGCAGTTTATCGCTCTACAGCACAGTTCATAATGTTGTTTGTCTTTATCAAAAGAGGTGAAGACAGGAGATGCATGAAGATAGGATAAATAAGCACAGTTACAACGATTGGGTTACACGCTGAAGGTAGAACACGAATTCCTGTGTGAGCTAAGAATGACAAGTGATTTTGGTTACTGGGATTGCTGGGGTATCAAGGCACCTTGCATGAAGAATATGGGATGCCAGTCGAGGCTGGCTGTCTTGATGCAAGAGCACAAGTAAGGGTTGGACCAGTGCGCGGCGTCGCGGAGTACGCTCCATATCTTTATGCACGTGTGCGTACGCTGCGTACGTCGCGCACACCGCGCAGTCTGCCAACCTTAAGGCTCAGATCTAATGCCTGCCTTGTGGTATGGTCAAGGGGAGTGCTGGTACTCAGCATTTTCCTACGTCTGACCGCTTCGAAAGTTTCGGTCCTTGGGACCAGTTGAGGATCATGTTGTCGGCAGTGAAGTGATCTGTTTTGTGAAATCTGATGCAAGTATACGGTGCGATATATTGTAGGCTGTTGTGTGTTTCTAGACAACAAAGGCATAGGCGGGTAAGCAAAAGTTTGAGTATGTTATTTTCGACTCACTTTCGTTCGACAGTATATTGTCAGATGAGTGGTGTGGCGACGGAGAAGCATGAAAAACTGTTGTGAGCATTGTGTTGTGTTGGTTTTACGAACATAAGGTATCAGCACGTACGTTACCATACGCAGGGCCCGGCGAAGGTGGCGCTTTCACATGTTGGATATCGTTTTCTGGACAGAAAAAGCAAGGGGGAAGTCGTATCTGAGGTCCGGGGCGAAGCCCCGGAAAAATTTTGACGTACATTTGCGCACTAATTGTTCGAGGAAGTTACTTCACATAGTCTCACCTAGAGGAAAATGGGGATCCAGGTAGCATCAGCTTGCGGTATTTACTTTCTTGTGGAAGATTGGAACATTTACAGCATTTTTGTAAATTTTTGTCCTGTTGGTGTTTAAAGACTCAGACAGTCGACGGCATACCTTCGGAGCAGAAATGGCCGAGCCTGGGGGTTTCCCCAGCTGGGGATTGCCGCTCGTGCTCCAGAGCCCTCCCATTTGTGCTCCGGAGACCTGCCATTCTCTGCTCCGAGGTGTCCCAAATCTGGCGGACTCGCGGCGGGCAAATCTCTGCTCCGGGGCCCTCCCAAATCTGGCGTACCTCCGGAGCAGAGATGGCGTACCTCCGGAGCAGATCCGGAGAAGGGTCCCATTCGCCTGCTTGTGACGTTACCGTGACCTACGAGAAGGGACCGCCCCCTCGCACCGTCTCATTGGTCAATTGGGTCCGCCGCGGCTCTGCCAGATTTCAGTGTCCGCCGCGACTATGGCACCGATTGTCTGAGGAGAAAAATTGTAGCTGCCACGTACTTGACTGTCTATGCGAGAAAGTGAATGAAGGACCGAGGAGCTTTAAAAGTTGCTTTATTTTCAGATGAAAGTTATCGAAGTGACAGCTCAAATTTGAGTATTTTTAAGTTTACTCGTCTTGTTATCTCCCAAGATAAGCCGGAATATACTTTTAATTTTCTGGAGATCTGCCTCTATAAAATGAAAATAGATCAGGATTCGTACCAATTTCTCATTTTACGAAATATCAAGCTTATCATGAAATTTCATTCATCTCAAGTCTCGCAGAGATTAGGTCTCGCTTTATTCTAGCAAGGTGAACGTGAAAAAATTCATTTCAAAAATTTTCGCATGAAATTCAACGTGAAAAAAGTGTGAACTCGAAATCCTGCAGTAAGGTAAATATAAAAGTACATACAACGCAAAACAGCGGCACTCGTAAAAATTATTTCCGGAGAAAAGGAAATAGAACAGAATTTGCGAGAAAAGATTAGCCAGCTGAAAATTCTTCTCTTTCTTTAGTATGTTGAAAGAGTTTCTTACAAACTTATGCTAATCTCTGACGATTTGTGAGATTACTATGAATTTTATTTGTAAAAACAAGTCCAAGCATATAACATCGAGAAGAGAGTAAGCTCCCATTTTCCCCGCCATCACTCCAGCTTCCAACTTCTGAACTGGTACACAAATTTTGACAAATTGCAATCTATGCAAGTAAACAGATGCAGTATCCCGTCCCTTCAGCCTTCCTTCGCTGTAGATTTTCCTTATAAACTTGAAGTTAAGCTAATCGCACAATGCAGCGCTCCAATGTTCACTTTGCCTGTGCGGAAATTTGGATCGCAAATTTTACAAGAAGAAAATGAAATAATAGACTCGTTTGCACCGCATAGACGACGACAGTCCGCCAAATTTGGCGAGTAACTAGGTTACAGGAAGTACAAACAACGTATGAAAATTTATGAAAAACTTATGTGAAATGAGAGACTGGTAAGAATTTTTCTAATTTAGGTTGCTCCCGCGCAACCTGGGAGCAACCTGAGGTTGCTCCCTCCTTACCGTCACATAGGTTTCCAAATTTCTTCACATAAATGCATTCCACGTCAACAGTGTTGCTACTAGTACAAATCAGTTTTCTAAAGCGTTGCTTAGTTTTACTGCTAGGGCCCAATCGCATAAGTATGCGCCGAAAGACAAGTTTTGGAAGCGCGCGTGATATTTTTCATACATTTTTCTGGCCTTGTTCAATGTATCCCATTGTTGTCGTGTTTCACCGGTGTTCTGTATCCTTTAGGTTACACATAATTTAGTTCCTGATTTGCAGAAGTAACGACGAGGACGAAGGGGACGTTGTCTTGAAAATAGAAAGCGCAGCCCACTAAAGTCTAGGGCATATGATTTCAAGGCGGGTGATTCAGCTCGAACTCTCACTAAAGAACCGTAGCAAGTTATGTGATGAGCTTAAACCTCACTTGATTTTGGTTCGAAAGCGATTGACTTGTTGTTCAAAAGTAACAGCATTACCCCTTTCAGCAAAATTTCATGATTTTGAATGCATGAAAGGTGCCTGGTTTTGTCGTGCGACTAAACATCTCTTTTTAAGGTGAGTTTGTGGCATTCGCGCTGTTAGCACTTCCACTACACTTGTTTTTTTATTCAACCTAGTTCTCATAAAAACCATTATATGTCGGATTCGGACGCTGGCACTAGCTACCGTACCTCCGGCGCGCCGCGGGACCGACCAAAGTTGGAATGAGCTTGGCAACAAGCCAACTGCTCACCGCGAGAAGCATTTCTTTTGCTTTCTGTGGACGTTTTTTCGTACCAAGTGTCAAATTTCACCGTTTTCCTTTCTTCATGGCCTTTTATAAACGCTACCCGTCTACCAGCGGTGTGCCACGTTGACGTATGTACGGATATTCGTGTATTGCAAGCACAATAGAACTTTTCGGGTTGGCGTTCGGCTGTCACGTGCTTCACTGCTGCTCAATTTTGTATATTCACAGCTGTCAAGTCACTGTTGCAATCACTGTTGTCCACTACTTCGTTATGTGCAGGACTAGCGATCACACTAGCGACCACACGGTCAGCAAGGTGAGTTTGCTAAACGGGAAGATCATAGAAAATTGTGAACTTTTTCTCAGTTCACACTACAGTTGAGTTTTTCAGGGTTTCACAGTAACACGAAGATGCTCGCGGGAAATGCAACCTTCTACATCGGAAGAGCAAGTACGTTAATTCCAGTTCCTTTATGCCCTTTGCATAAACATTCCCTCTTTTGTGCAAGGGCTTTCGTTTCTGTGATCACTTCAAGTACTCCAAAAAGTATGCAACTTAGCAATTAGAATCTTGATTTGATGATTATTTTGTGATTATTTGATGACTTTGATACAGTTTAAAACTTCATACTCTACAATTATTGCGCTTTTTGATAGGCAACATGTTACTTATGTTTTGTTCATCTTTCATGCAATCGAGTGCCAAGGTACCACTTCCTTGGAGATGGCGCCTGATAGGCGGAGTCGTTGAGTCTGCATCTCTCTCGCGAGCATGCTCTCCAATCGTATCTTAGGCACGCGCCATACTTGATCCTCTTGATCCACTTGATCTCCTGACCCGCTTCGTGAATAATGCGCGTTTACTAGCTTGTCACTTGGCGTCCCGTATGTAGAAAAGTATTTTGTAGTGCTGCGCAAATTCGCTCTAGGCGACGCCAAATGACAAACTAGTGAGCATGCGTTTTTCACAAAGCGGATCATGAGGGTCAAGACGACCAAGTATGGTGCGTGCCTTAGACTTGATTAGCGATTGAACCCCACTTAAATCATCACTGCCAGGGAATCAAAAGGTATGTAGCAAGAAGTACGAATTTCCTTAAATTAGAACGGTAGATTTTTCAGAACGTCCAGAGATGATTTTGCGAGGTTATAGGTTGCTCGTGCAAAGAAGAAACGTTGTCGACTTTGCGAGAAGTCTTTTACCTACTGCTCCATAACCGCCCATTTGAGAGAAGAGCACAATGCTGATGCCCACATTGTTTTCGTGCAAAAAAGCTCAAATGTTGAGGAAACTATTCATTGTACCGCAGAAGAATGCGTTTATAAGGGGACTAGCAAGGAGGCGCTGAAGAAGCACATCAAATGAGTGCACCTTGAAAGCAGAACTACGAGGCTTTGGTCATGTCACGTTTGCCAGAGTGCTGTGCCTGACCAGGTCGCTCTAAATGAGTACTGTAGGGAAGCACATGGGAGGGAGGGTTGTGCTATAAAAACAAGGACGTTTGCAAACAAAAGCGAATATGAGGTAATGAGAGGTGGAAGCTTTGTAACTTTATTTTTACATCACCGTTTTTTAGTGTTGGAAAGCAGAATACGAGAAACACAGAATCATAAAATGGAAGAATAACGGCACATCTACTTTCAATGAGTACAAAACAACACACTGCATCTCTAATCTTATATATAAAGCTGAATGTCTGTTTGTCTGTCTGTCTGTCTGTCTGTCTGTATGTCTGTCTGTATGTCTGTCTGTACGTATGTTCCGAATAGAAAATTCCATTTCTGAACCGATCGGGACCAAACTTGGCACACATACATTTTGGGCCCCGGCGGGTGTCATAGGCTACTTTTCGTCATCGATCGATATCGATTTCATCGATTTTTTGTAAAATTTGAGCTACGGGGCTGGGAGTTGGCACAGGGGGGTAATCGAGCATGCTGATCACCCCCGTGGGGGTGATCAGCATGCTCGGTTACACCCCCCTGCCAAATTCCAGCCCCCTAGCTCAAATTTTGCAAAAAATCGATAAAATCGACATCGATCAATAGCGAAAAGTGGACTGTGACACCCGCCGGGGCCCGAAGTGTATGTGTGTCAAGTTTGGTCCGGATCGGTTAAGAAATGGAATTTTCTATTTGGAACATACGGCGGAGCCGGGTAAGCCAGCTAGTAGGTAAATAAAAGGGAGCTCACTCACTACTCTTGTTTTTTAAGATCTGGCGTAGTGGGAAGTAAAGGGGGCAAATCGAAAGCTGTAACCAGATATTGCACGTCATTCCTTAAAGGCAGCGTCCGGGCAAAATTTCGAACAAAACTTTTTTCGCTTACCTGGGCTTATTCTTCCCGCTGGTTGCGAAAATGCAGCTTGCAGAGTACGAAAACGTCGAAAACGGGCTATTCCAGAGGCTGTTTATTTTGAATATGGAAGCTTGCCGCCGAGGTTAAGACGCAGAGTCGCGGTGGGACCCTACGTCTTGACTGTGTGCGACATACGCGTACTCTGGCTATCGATTGAGGGGCGGGCATGTCGCCGGGGCGTCCGTGTCGCCACTTCTGAAGCGGTTTTCTCACTTCAGAAGCAAATTAGTGCGCTGCCAGTTGGGCAAGGGCTTTACCAGGGTGGAAGCTCCTGTATGCAAAAATTTCATATCTGCCCGGACGCTGCCTTTAAGGTGATTGATGTAACTTCTTACAAAACCTTTCGAATTTCCCATTCAGGCAAAGATTTTCCACAACGGTGAGATTAGCGTAAAGTCTGCGTAGGGCATGTAGGACATAATGTTTCTGCTGCGCTTCTACCACTAACCGAAGCTGATAGATAGGCTATCGGGCATTACCTGAACTTGGGACTGGATGTCCCTGTGGTATTAAGGATAATCCGGAAGCAGTACACAGATGCAAACCACCTTTTGTACTGACGTTAGCCATCGACGTGCGAAATGCGAGGAAAAGTCTCTCGCTACAGCCTGGACGCCTTCATGAGGACGACATGCAGTCACTCGCCTTGAGATAAATTGGCTGTACAGGAGGATGAATTCCGGAAGTTCCAAGCGCCGACATCAGGCAATGGAGCCAGTTTTCGCATCACATCATCGCCCCGGATATTGATCAAAAGGTGCAGCTATTGCGGTGTCTCCATAGACGACACGCACTGCACCACTGCAAAGTTTGCTACGATGATGGTGGTAGACGACTACGGACGTGATCTACCAGCTGCATTTCTCTTAGCCAATAAGATGGGCAAAGAAGAGAGCGGTTTGCTGTTCGAGGAGGTGAAACTCCTGGATAACAGTTTTAAGCCACGTTTTTTTTCTGATGATACTATGAGTTTCTAGAATGGTTCCGAGCTGTTTTTTCGAAGGCTAATACAACTAAGCTTCTGTGCTCATGGCATTGTCAAAAAGCTATTTTCGATTAAGCTCTTGCTTCGGAGGGAAGAACGACGAAAGACGGCGGAAGCTTAGAGTTTGGATTATTAGTGCATTCTCTAGCAAATATCTATGTTTTGCTTTGGGATGGATCAAAACAATGTTTACGCAGTCAAACAAGGTGGAGTGGCATAAAGCCAAATGCATGCTACTACTTGCTGAATACCGCCGCGAGCATCGAGAATGTGCTAATTTTGACGATTATTTCCGACGGTATTATCTCAGTCGTCAAGAGGAATGGGCGCCGTACTACAGCCATAGCAAATACAACCATGGTTTCGGAACGTTGGCATCGTACTATGAAGTATACGCTACTCAATCGGTCATCAAACCGCCGGACAGAGAATTGGTGCAGACTTTGATTAGTGCGATACCCACCATAGCAAGAGAACACATTGTCCAAGACGAGCACGGAATCATAGAGGGCAAGTTCAGGGCGAAAGAAAATATTGCAAAACATAAAAAAGCCGTAGAGGAAGCGAAAAACGTTCAACTGACACGCTTGGAAAAAGGAGAATGGACTATAACCTCTTTTACAAGTCCTGAAAAGCTCTACATAACCACACTTCTTCGGTGCGAATGCGAGAGTGCATGTTTCAGTTATCGCTATCGTTTGTGTTCATATCCTTCTAATGCTGATTTAGGAAAAAATGCATTGTTCATTGTGTGGCGTGTGCCCCATGTACGTATCTTGTTCTTGTGCTGACGCTGTGAAATCAGGAATATCCTGCAAACACGCGCACGCTTGGGCGCTGAACTATGATGGTAGGGGACACAGTCTTACTTTTTTCAAGATAAATCAAATCAAATGTTATCATGCGATAACGAAGAGTCTTAAATCTCAATACTCCCTGCTGCGATGAGGACGTTTCAGTAATAGAAGGTTCTGAAGAAGAAGTTGTGAGCTTGAGTGACAAGCGAAAGGAGCTTGTAACAGAGTTACAAGAGGTGAGTGAAGTGTCCCTTTAATATAAGCGTATACAGTATCTTCCGTCAGATCGTGGATCGGCTTTCGTTTTCGTGGAGTACTCGACCTGCCGTGGATGAGAACCGGATAGCATCGCTAATGCGTACTCGAGATTTACTGCTTCAAGCGGCTAATGAAGAGTTAGGTGCAGGTGCAGAACCAATCAACTATAAACCCAAACAAATAGACTTTTTTTTCAGGCGGGCTTCGAAAACCAGTACTTATACCAAGAAGAGAGTGCCCAACGCGCGGCCGAAAGGTCTTAACAAAACAAGCTCCAGTCAGGCGAATGGTCAAGGTCCGTTGGTATCACGTTGATATCCCATCTCAACAAAAAAATTTTCTGTTTTGGAAAACACAGCATGTGCAGTCTAAATGTGCAGCAGAATACACTGGCAACATAGTTGCAGATGAATTGAACATCTGCGTTCTATGTGATGACACGCATCCGCCATTAGAGGATCCGAAAGATGAACCTGTTATGGAAGGCGCGGACATCCTTTGGTGGTCATGCAGAGTTGTCGTGCATGGGTGCACAGAGATTGCATGCAGTGTAGGGAACTGTCCTGTGTGTGATGGAGTATTTGAGCCTACAGGTTAAGAGCTTATGCTTTATCGCACTCGGGACGGTTCCTGCACTTCATCAATCTCTGTGCACCTACTAATCATGACCATCTACTCTAAGCTGATAGCGTGACTGTAACTGAGCAAGTTTACCTTGATATCAGTCTTAAAGGCCACTAGATGGTTGCAATTTTATCAGACTTTTTGGCGACGGCCTTTTGGCGAAATTTCATGATCCAAAGAGCTAACTTCACTTGCGGTGATGGAAGCGGTGGCAAGTTTATCTATGGTGAACGTTTCAAGGATGAGAACTTCACTGTACAACACTACGGTCCGGTTGTTTGTCAAGGCCATTGCTGGATCAGACACCAACTATTGCAGTTCTGATCTGTGCCGTCAAGACCTCGTGGTTTGGTGCACATCGTGTTCAGAAAAGTAGTTGAAGCATGGGCGTTGTTCGCATGATTGAAAACAGCACAACTAATTCCGCTAATCGCCGCTATCATCACCGACGGTGATGAGCTACCGTTGGCCGCTCCTTTCTAGAGCGAGAAACGCTCAACAATAGATAAAGTCGTTATTGATCATGATAAGCTTTCATTCTCTGTGCCCTGTTATCCCTTCTGTACATCAAACAATTGCTTTCATCTCACCAATTGTGCTTTCATTTATGACAGGGCTGTAATCATATTCAAGGGATATCCTTTGTTGTTTATTGTGATAATGCCTCAAACAATAAATCTGCGCTAAACCAAAAAATAGTACAGACAATACACAGATTTTTTTCAAGCGTATAGGGATCCTGCCGTTAACGGAGAATTATGCAATGATGGAGATGTGTTACAATATGCTGAAGCTCTAAATGGAAGCTGATTCGGATGCTCTAGGTAATGAATAAAACACATGATTCAGTGGAAGGTCGACTTCAATCGATCAATCGCGTTCAATCGAAAGCAGAAGTGTAACACAGAATAAGTGTAAATTTCTCTCATTAAGGCAGCGAGTTTAGGCTTAAATCTCTGGAGCATCAATTCTGACTACTTCAAGGAGTTTCTTCGTCATGTCTTTGTGAAATTAATTGTATAGAAGTCAACAAAACGTCAGTTGTTACAAACTTCCGTCAGAAGAAATCGCTGCTTACTCATATCTACATTGAGAAAATAACAAAGGTGGTTTTTGCGTAATATCGTTTTCTCGCTTGCCGTAGATTAGACTTGTGATAAACTCGCGGAAACCGGCTCCGTTTTTATCGGTGCCTCACACTTCCGGAATCCTCCCTCTAAAACCGGCTGGTATCGCATTGTCAGTGCAAGTGATTGGGTACCGTCTTCTCTAGGCGTTGCCGCTGCATCGAGAGAATTTCTCTTATAGTGCAGCCACGTCGGCGGCTAAAATCCATTACAAACGGTGATTGTCACTATAAACTGCTTCCGTATCCTTAGAACTACAGTTATTTCCAGCTCCAAGTTCAAGTATTGTCCCAGGGGTTCTCTCTAGCACAACCCTTCCTCCCATGTGCTTCCCTACAGTGCTCATTTAGAGCGACCTGGCCCGGCACAGCACTCTGGCAAACGGGACAGGACCAAAGCCTCGTAGTTCTGCTTTCAGGGTGCACTCTTTTGATGTGCTTCTTCAGCGCTTCCTTGCTAGTCCCCTTATAAACGCATCCTTCTGCGGTACAATGAATAGTTTTCTCAACATTTGAGCTTTTTTGCACGAAAACAATGTCGGCATCAGCATTGTGTTCTTCTCTCAAATGGGCGGTTATGGAGCAGTAGGTAAAAGACTTCTCGCAAAGTCGACAACGTTTCTTCTTTGCACTCGGTCGAGCAACCTATAACCTCGCAAAATCATCTCAGGACAGGACGTTCTGAAAAATCTATCGTTCTAATTTAAGGAAATTCGTACTTCTTGCTACATACCTTTTGATTCCCTGGCAGTGATGATTTAAGTGGGGTTCAATCGCTAATCAAGTCTAAGGCACGCACCATAATTGGTCGTCTTGATCTTGATGTAGAAGGTTGCACTTCCCGCAAGCATCTTCGTGTTACTGTGAAACCCTGAAAAACTCAACTGTAGTGTGAAATGAGAAAAAGTTCACAATTTTCTATGATCTTCCCGTTTAGCAAACCCACCTTGCTGACAGTGTGGTCGCTAGTGTGATCGCTAGTCCTGCACATAACGAAGTAGTGGACAACAGTGATTGCAACAGTGACTTGACAGCTGTGAATATACAAAATTGAGCAGCAGTGAAGCACGTGACAGCCGAACGCCAACCCGAAAAGTTCTATTGTGCTTGCAATTCACAAATTTCCGTACATACGTCAACGTGGCACACCGCTGGTAGACGGGTAGCGTTCAAAAAAGGCCATGAAGAAGGCAAAACGGTGAAATTTGACACTTGATACGAAAAAACATCCACAAAAAGAAAAAAATGCTTTTTGCGGTGAGCAGTTGGCTTGTTGCCAAGCTCATTCCAATTTTGGTCGGTCCGGCGCGCCCGGGGTACGGTGGCTAGTGCCACCGTCCGATTCCGACATATAATGTGGTTTATGTTCTCATACTCGGATCCAGGGCATCGGTTGAATACCAGAATGCTCCACGCAAGGGTGGCTTGCGTTTCTAATGCATTGTTTCTTGGACTTCATACGGATTACCACCGAAAACGAATTGTGCAGTAGCCGCACTAGCGCGGTAGTTTCGAGCACAGCATTGGGAGCATTCGCGACCTCGGTGGTTGTTTGTATTTAGTCACTGTATATAGTACTTGCATTTAGAGTTTATACTAAATAGTTGTTCAGTTCATAAACCTGAGATGGAGAGACCTTGCTCGGGCGTCGTGCAGTGTGCTAACGCTGGGAGGAAATCTCGATCAAAATCGTTAACGATTGCTACAAAACACCTGCGGTTAGAAGTTGCTGTGAATTATCTAACCATAGTTATTCTTTCTGTTGCAGGTAACCAAAATCTGTTGACTTCTGATTGAACGTATGATTGATTATCTGCAGCGTCTTCGTTTCCTATAACCAATCAATCTCAGTATATACCAGAAAGTGGGTTTTTTCGTATCTGTCTCATTGCATTAAGATATTCTGTTATAACGCAAAATGGCTTTTTAGCTGCTTCTTCGCTTGTTATGAATGGGCAATAAAAAACCTGTTCCTATAGTACGCTAGGGTTTATTTTTGCATCATTCAACTACGATGTAAAAGTATGTGCGTCTGCTAAATTTTTAGGACGGCCGGTATCAATTTTACATCTGTTATGTGAGCTCATGGATCACCAGTTCTTGTATCAGTTAGCCGCTGTGTGTGAGGGTATGAGCTATGAGAAAGCTGCTGGCGTCTGATGAGCAATACTTGTTTTGCAACGGTCCCAGAGATTCAAAGTATTACGATATGAACATCTGGATTCAACGACGATTTGGTGACTTTGATTAAGCTGTCACTTTTAGTTGTCCTTTCGCATTAGAATCTCCTATCTCACTTGAGACTTTTAACTTCACGTAGTTTATATTTTTATTAACTCTGTTCACCCTCAATGTTATGATAGACACACTGGGTTGAGGTTCATTTGTTTACTCGCAATAACACCATAGCGTCTATTTCGTCAGTCCAAAGTTCGATTGGAGTCTTTACAGTGTCTTTTGTAAAGTGCTTTTGTCTTCTATAGATTATTGATGGAAGAATAGCTTGGACGGCGACTTCAGACTCAATGTCGGGCAAAAATAACTGCCATAAATTTGGAAGTAGACCTTCAGTTTCTTGTGGTTGTTGTATTTTGTGTTCAAGACTGCAGTATCGTTTTTGAATCGTCGTCATTTCGTGACACTCATTCCATCGGTGCAATGTGGTTTCACAGAAGATCGAGGGTTTCTTACGCGGAATCCACATGATTTCCGCTGTTGGATTTCGCGCAGGTCACTACGAGGTCAGGCGCAGTGTTGTGCTCTCTCTCTCACCACTAAGAATCTAACATATGTAAGCAAATATTATTTTCATGTGAGCGTAACTCAGTATTGAGTTATCCTATAAATAATTGGTTGAGACAATGAACTAAACCCGAACTTAACATGAGCTTTGAGATCATAAACGTCAAGAATTAGGACCATTTTAGGATAAAGCTCGAAGAATTCTTTCGCGATAGAGATTAGATGGGTTTATAAAGTTGAGATCGTTATGCAGGTGGGTAGTAGAGGAGTTTCTTAGAAAGCAGGATCAAGGTAAATTTGTGCTTGCACCATTTCCTCTTTAGCGAGCCTTTTAGTGCTTGAAAATTGAGTTTCTTTTTTCATAGAGTCAAAAGGGAAGTCGTTTTGAAAAACCCGTAATGCACCCCGTGCCGGACCCTGCTCAGGCACTCCAGTATCTGATGAACTGTGAAAATAGCTCGATACCAAAACGATTAAATCCCTTACTTTTGCGAAAAAGTTGGATCCCTATCTATAAATAGTTCTTCTTCATTTCGCCAGCTTGCTACCATGGCGGAGAGCATCTTAAGGTTAGCATGACTTGTACAAAAAGCTGAGCTCACAGTGTCATTTATTCTCAGAGTAGATATATACGTTTCAAAAAGTGTTCAGCCAAGTTACAACGCCAACTTACTTACGCCGTCTTACACGCATTCCATGTGAGGGCGGCTTTGTTCTTTCAGCCTAAAATCTTCTGTTGTATTAGTGACATATAAGTTTCGCAATTTCTCTCATAACTTTTATCTTTCTGGTTGTAGCGCGGTGATTTTGTAGCATTATACAGATTATCCTGAGTTAGAGCTGCTAAATCATTCGTTTGATAATTTATAGAAAAAAATCTAAGCTTTTTTCAAAACTGTTGAATTGAGGAATACTGTTTTTGAACAAGAATGGAGCGGTGCAGGCTGGATCAAGCTTATCAAGATGGAAATGTAGGCAGTGAGTTGCCTGAGTTTGTCCCATTGAACTTTCAGGAAAGAAATGGAATTTGAAGGCACATCAAGATCCGGGGGCATAGAGAGTTTGAACAAATTCGAACGCGTTAAGTTTGGAGAGGCATTCATCAA